TTAGAAGCCTATAAGGTAATCCCCAAAAAAGGAACTACTATGGGGCCTATGGGTAGACCTGAAGCCCCAAAGCCTACATTTTTCCAGCGCTTAAAGAGCGTCCCCAGTCATCCTTGCTCAGGTATCCGGGACGAGCTCTACGGCTTGGACGTGCGGGTAGGAGGCCACGAGCTAGTCCAGAGTGGAAATGGCTCGTTGCTTCAGTATATCTCACCTCCACAGGGCAGGATGCGTGTATAAACCCTGCACCCTAAACCCTCAACCCGAAACCCTACATAGTTGTGAAACAGTTGGCAGTGGCAGTAAGAAGAGAAATCAAGACGGTAGGTTAAAGCGGAAAAAAATCGTGGCCCGGTTCTGGCAGTTCGGGGTTCAGGGTTTCTAAGGATTTAGGGTGTGCGTTCTTGAATAGGTACTAATAATTAATAATATTACCCTGTGGCACCGCTGTATTCGATTGTCTACCCCAAAACCCGATTCTAATTTTGCAGGCATCCAATGTAGGGATTTCGGGTTAGGCTTCATAGCGCGCCAGGCTTTCACGAGAAGCTTCCACTCCTGCTCCACGCGGCTCTTGAAGAGCTCAAGCGCCTTGGACCTGTTGTGAAGGTGTAATGTAGGGGACTGAATTAGTACACATACCATTTTGGGGGATCCTTAGTATAATTATAGTATTATAGACCCCCAAAGCCTACTCTAATTATTAAGGCCCCTGCATTATGGGACTTAGGATTTAGAATTGGGTGAATGGCCGGACCAACTACCCAAGCGCCGAAGTCTTGATTTAATTTTAGGTTTCGGGTTTCTGGTTTAAGGGTTGGGTTTCGGGTTTGAGGTTCCGGGATCACCCACCCTTAACCTTGCACCCTCGATTCAGAATTCGAAAGCTTTCCTCTACGATGCAGACGACACACTTGGGCGCAGGCGGATATGTCTACATGCCCAGTTCAGGACCACGACCCCTCATGTCTGCGAGATGGTGTTCGAGTTGAGAGTACCGGCCCGAAGGCATGGCATTAGTGGGCAGCTACGACAGAAGCCTCGGTAAGGACCCGTGAACATTCCTTAGGGTTCCTTATGGCTGTAGTTATGGCCAAAGTAGACGCCTGTTTGGGACCGTAAGTTAAGATGCCCTTTCCTATGATCCTGTTTAAGCGTCGCTCAGCGCGATGTTTGGCCTCATGGGGTGGGCACTTTCTATCATAGTTCCCCCTAAACCCCAAACCCTACACACAGTTTACGATCTTCTTGTCGGTTGCTTTCTGAGGCTCTTTGGAAGCCCATCGGCCTGGCAAGAGAGGCTAGACAGCCCCTCGCATGCACTTCTTGAGGTTGCCATGGAGGTTTAGGGTTTAGGGTTCTGGGTTTAGACCTTGATTTGCAATAGTACCTATAGTCTCCATCGTTCCTTTTTTGTTTAACTAAATTTCCATTTAGGATCTGAAAAGGTATAGCCCTAAAACGGAACCACAATGGAGACTATAGGTAACATCAATGTCCCCTCATACTCCTTGTGTGACTATACCATAGCATACTCCGAACCCCCGATGAGGTTGAGGATTGTTGCTATTATTGTTGCTGTTGCTACTTCCTCGCTCTACTTATTAAAGCATAAATCCGAAGCTCAAGGCTCAGCCCTAGTGAAAGAAACGAAACCCGTCTAAAACAGTCTACAAGAACCCTAAGCCCTACATTATAAACCCTAATCCCTATATCCTACACCTTTCTCAAGCCAGGCCTTCACGCGCAGGCACGGAACAGGGACCCTTAACCAAAGAACAGTTTAGGGTTTTTCTCTTCAGGGTTCAGGGGTTTAGAGGTCCAGGCGTTTAGGGTTTAGGATTTAGGGTTTAGGAAGCCTGCTCAACAACCCTACACAAATCCTCTCCCAAACGCCCCAAGGCCCCCGGTTCCTTCGCCGCTGCAGCGCGCAGCGCGAGGAGCTTCTACGTAGCTTGAGGACCTGGTGGTGAATGAAGTTAAGAGAGAGGTTTCGTAAGTGTTCTTTATGATTTTTTGTGTTTTGTGAAGGTTGTATTAGTGTTTTGCAGGTTTTCGGAGATTTTTGCAGGTAAGGTGTTGTTTTTGGAACGGGGGGGGGGGNNATCGGGGGGCGATAAGGTGCTCGTCACAGTGTCTTGAAAGAAAGGTAAGGGGAGAAAAGGATAGAACTCCATGCATGGAGAGAACGAGTGCGGGCAATACCACCACGATCTATGCTAGCCAATACCATGAAACGAGTATGACGATTCTCTTTGCTAACCTCCTAACCTCAACTCGATTATAAACGATAAACTCTTCCAGTCAGTCGTAGGAGGCTGCACATTGTCCAGATGACAGGAATGAGTACACGAAGCCCGGCGACCACTGCGCTGACTTGCGGCGGTCCATGGCTGGCGCCCCACGCACTTGCAGGGTTTGGTTGTTTAGGGTTGAGGGCTGACGCTTTGAAGTTGCCCTCCAAGCCCTGCACCCCAAAGCCAACACCCTAAACCCTGAATGATAAACCTGGAAACCCCAACTCAAAATCTGATGCGTCAACCTGCAGTCCTTAAACCAGGAACACCCCGACGGAACCCGCTTCCAGAAGAGGATTTCCATAAGAACCGTAGCAAGCATGCGGACAAATCATGAATTCCGCAGGTTGACGAGTGCAGACGCTTTCCCTTGTGNNGCCATGCTGCCCGGGGACAGCGTCAACCTGCATGTTTATCTTTTCAAGCTCGCTCGCGTCATGCTGCAGGCGGTAGATAGACACGATGCAAGTTTCACCTGTCACAACTTTGGCCCAAGTGCCCGATAGTAAACAGTGGGAATCCCTTGACACTGTGTGCCATACGATTGGTCAGTCATTCTTTTTGCCATCTTTTGGTTATCAGCCGTAGTGCTGATTCTATTTGGATTTGGTGACATCCCTTTTCATTGGGCTTACTCGGACGCTGGATTTTGGATCTCTTTTGCGTCTTATTGCGCAGCGCGTTGGCAGTTGGATCGAATACAGCCGAATACAGCCTCTAATACAACCAGTCCTTCGGGATCTGTGCACCATCCTCTGCCCCCCTTGTCCTACACGTTGGTATCCTTGGCAGCCGGTTCTTGAAACTGGCTTGAACTTTGGCGACCACGGAGGCTGAGAAACGAGGGCTCGATTGGCACAGGCCTGCTACGGTGGATCTGGTAATTTGGAGGATCATCAAGCCGTCCAGAGGCGGCCAGAGGGACATTGCCCAGTGGATTGGCAGGTCCCAGAAAGCCCAGACTGATATCAACTCAGGGGCTACAACGTTGGAGGATCTTTTGGCTTACAAGGGCTATTTGCGGTTGGACACCTTTTGCCGTGATCAGGGTGTTCCATTCGACGACTCGGAGCTAACAGAGAATCCAATAGAAGACCACGCCGGAGCCACATCTGAACCCGAGGGCGAGGAGGAAGGAACCAATCCCGAATCCGGGCCCCGGAGCTGAGGAGGAAACCGAGGTTAAGGCACCAGTAAAGGCAGAGGTTGAGGTAACAGCTGAACCTTCTTCCTCGAACAGGGGCAGGTCGCGATCGCCGGTGGCGCCAAGAGCTTTCACCAGAGGTATTGTCAGGCCTTCAGTTGCTCCACATGTGTAGCTTCCATTGCTCCGTTTCCTGTGGCTAGTAGCGCCTAAGCTTGCATGCCGTTCGTGGGAAGGCGAGTGAAAGCATATGGACAAATCATCAGTTCCACAGGTCGACGAGTGCAGACGCTTTCCCTTGTGGCCATGCTGCCCGGGGACAGCGTCAAACCTGCATGTTTATCTTTTCAAGCTCGCTCACATCGTGCTGCAGGCGGTAGATGGACACGATGCAAGTTTCACTTGTCACGCCCCGCAGTAAAAAGTGGGAATCCCTTGACACTGTGTGCTATACGGTCATACGATTGGCTTAATTATCATTCTATAGCCATCTTTTTAAACATCTAAGTAAACTCAGAGTTCTTCACCTGCATAAACCCCAAACACACAGAAGCCGAATGCCCTTCCCTGTGGAGTTTTGGTTGTGCTTGTCGTCCGGTTCCACGGTTGCAGATCTGGGGTTTCAGGGTTTCCCCCAGCCCCGATGCAAACCCCAATTTCGGGGTTTCGGGAAATGGGGTTACGGGCCTATGTGCTACATTCGCTTCCAAACTGCTTTTCGCACTGCGGAAGGCATTCTGCTGCAACCAGCGACGGCCAAAGTTCAAAACAGGCTGTGTTTTCCATCGTGCATTCGGCACTAGCCTCTGAGGGCGCTATATGTTGTTTTTTCGTCCTCAGCGAGTTTGACTAGACTCGGGTATTTTTTTTACTCCCCCCAGACCCTCAAACCTGAAAGCTTAACTCCCGATTTTCACATCTTCAAATTAAACCACGGAGGTTCTACATTGTTATACCCGTTGAAACACCGACAGCCTAAACCCCATTAAGAAGCCCATAAAACCCTGACCATGGTAAGCCCTAAGCCCTACACCCTAAACCCCTGACCCTAAACCCTAAACCCAAAAAGCCCAACCCGAAGCATCCTCAGGTCATGGCATCTCGCACCTTGGCGACGGAGAGGGCCGACGCGCTGGAAGCTTTGCAGGTCGGAAGCGCGAAACCCCGAAACCTCGAAGCCCTAAAACCCTGAATCCTCGCAAGCCCTACCTGTAGCCGGAAAGACCTACTTTTTTAGGGTTCCTTATTATGGTTTCTATATATATATATATAGAGTTCCTCACAAAAAGGTCTTTTCGGTTACAAGTCAGCCGTTTTCCGCAACCCTAGGCAATAAACCCCTGCACCCCAAGCCCCCAATTCGTACGCGCGCGCTGCGGATGAGCCCTTGTAGAATTACCCCGCAACATATCTGAAAAGCCCCATTCCGATTCCATCATGGCTCCAGGCCCCAACCCGTAAATCTGATGCCCCAAAGCTTCGACCAAGCCCATAAACCTTAAACCCTAAACGCTTGACCCTAAACACTGGCTTTAAACCTGAAGCCCCCACCCTAAAACTTAAACACGCCCTAAATCCTTACACCGTAGACCCTCAGCCGTTCTAGATATATCACTTCGCAAGCAGCATGCGCAGGTCACTGACCTTGCGGCTTTCGCACAGGCGCTTCTGTCCACAAATCGGGTGTGTGATCCTGGGCTTGGGTGTCTTTTTTGATTTTGGGTTTAGGAGTGCTTGCGAGGATTTAGGGTTTCGGGTACAGGGCTTCGGGGTTCCGAATATAGAATCGGGGTTGCTGAGGACCCTAAAGGTCATGAGCTTGGGAGTCAGACTCAAGCCTTTCTTTAGGTTTTGGGTTTCGGGTTTGGGGTTCAGGGTTTGGCGTTTAGGGTTTTGGGTTTGGGGTTTCGGATTGGAATTCTGGGATGCCGATCGCAAGCCTCTAAAAAGGAAGGGTGTTTAAGAGCCTCGGCAGAAGGCTCCCGATAAGAATCCTTCAGCAGAGAGGCGGTGGAAGGGCCTCACCCGATCTGCTTGAGCGAGAATGGCGGGATGCAGCTGCCTTTAGGTTCACTGTGAATTCGACCCCTACTGACCTTCCGGTGAGACCGCGTTGCGGCAGAACACATCTCCGCCAAGGTACCATCCTTCTCAGCCTCTTGCACTTAAACTGAAACTTCCTACCCAAAGCTCTGTAATCCCCCTTATACCTTCTTATAGCCCCTACACGATTGCAATAGAATCTCCCCAGAAGTCCTAGTGTAATTCAAACCCCCAAAGTCCTCCTCCCCGGGTCTTTCGGCTGTAGATTCAAGCTGCGCAGACTTTCTAAGACCCGTCTCTTCCAGCCATTTTGGGCTAAGGGGTGTTCGGGTTTACGGCTTAGGGCTTTTAGGTGCTAAACCCTCAAAACCCTAAGCCCTAACCCTAAACCGAGGGTTTAGGGTTTTTGTTCATAGGGCTATCGACCTGACCCTAAGCCCGCAGCCTGAAGGCACTTGGGTAGTTCTCCAAGATAGCCCCCCCTTTAGGTTCCACCATGAAAAGGACCCTTATTTAGAGAACTCTTTGTGTGTTTTTTGGGCTTTGTCGTCTTGAGTTTTGGGCTCAGGTTGTTTCCCTCGAGCTCTGTAGACTGGGGTCTCTTTTCGGGCTTTTTTTTTAAGGGTGCCGTCAGGTTTTGGGGACCCAAAACCGGAGCCCTGTTTCAGAGAACTGCCACATACACCTAGAATACTTGGTTCTGATAGTAGATATGCCATATGAAGAAGTTAGGCATGAGTTTAAGTTGGGTAAACGTGTTAGGAACTCTTTCTGCCAGCAGGAGCTCATTCCACAGCTGGATGTGGAGGCGATGGGCCCTTGCTGGGTAGGTTCACGTTTTGGGGTTTAAGGCTCCAGGTTTAGGGTGGTGCCAGACTGGACCAATACCTATATAGTGTCCATTGTAGTTCCCTCTGGGGGATAACTTATAAATTCCTTAATACATAATTGATCACACCAAGAAAAGGAACTACATGGGAGACTAGAGGTAAGGCGCAGTTCGGGAAGATCACCACAAACGCTTCAATTTAGGCACCGCTCAGAAAGGTGACGAAGGAACTTATTTCGACTCCGCACTTGACCCGACGCCATACTCCTGTTGTAACTCACAGCAGCCTTTGACCGTAAAGCCTTGAAATCCCGCAAAGCTTGTGTTTCTGTCTGGAGTATTGAAACTCAATCTAGGGTTTAGGGAGCTCTGGGGTTCAGGGCTTTCAGGATTTAAGGTTCCTGGGGGTTGGAAAATTTATTTCTTCTGAAGCTCAAATCCCACAGCCTTAGTTCAAACCCCAGACCCCCAAACTCCAAACCTGAAGCCCCGTCGCCATAAACCGTGCAGCTCTAAACCCTACACGCGCTAGACGCGGTAAAAACAAAGATAATTGACAATGGAGTCTTCAACCATCCCAAGAAAGGTTCTTTCAAAGGCATAAGCACCCATCCCAAGAAAGGTTCTTTCAAAGGCATAAGCACCCCAACCCCCGTAAACCCTCTACATGCAAATCCCTACAAAACCTTAAAACCATGAATGAGCAACCCCAATTGGAGGTCTTGTTCATCGGCAACGCGACCTCGGAGGACGCTCGTCAGCTGGTGGCGGCATTCCCGGCCGCTTGGTTGCAAAAGCTGAAGCGCCCGATATGGGGACCACTTATGAAAGGAAGAAGTGGGAGTAGTATCCCCTTATAGTCGCCACGTTATCATACTACACTATAACCCAGGACCCCAAAGCCCTTGTCTTAAGGCTGTTACAGTAGACTTCGGGATCAAGGGTAAGTGTAGACCCAAATCTACACCCCTCCAGCTTCGAAATGATTTTGGATGCAGGCCGAGCTGCGGCCCAAAGCGGAGGCTCCGGCGCACGTGCCGCACCCGCCTGCACGGGTCGTGCGGGTGCCGGTGGCAGAGCCTTTGGCCGTGGCCTAAGCCACCTTAGTGCTGTTGTGTTTGCTTGTTCTTGTCGATGTTTCTGTTTTCGTGGTTGTCGTCGTGGTTGGTGGCGGCGGTCGATGTTGATTGAAGAGAATGAGGAGGATGAGGAGGAGGAGGAGGCGGATGGCAACGATGTTAGATGTTTCAATGTTGCGAATTTCTGTTCATAGCGATTCAAATGTGATTGCCCCTGCATGGTTGTAGGTTTAGAGCGCCAGAGGCCCATGGCTTAAGTTGAAGCCCGTACCTAGCCCTGCAGCAATCCAAACCCTGAGCCGCCGTACCCAAGTGCCAAAACCCTAAGCCTCAAGCCGCAAGAATCCTCCCCGAAAGCCCTAAAACCCCAGCTACTCAGTTGTTCGACTCTCTCTTAGCACATGGCCCCAACCTGCACTGATTGTTTGAGGGTTCGGGGGCCGGGCAGTTGGAGCTCGTGCCCAGGCCTCAAAGCGATACTGATATTTTCGTCGCAACACGAACTAACCTACTCCGAAGCTGTCTAGCTACCCTCAGCAGCAACAGCAATTCGTAATAGCCATGTCCGTAAGGATTGGCTGCAACTGTGATGACTTCTGCCGCGTAGTCTCATGAAATGGCCACGATCATTGCCATCATCGAAAACTGCTTACAACCGTGGCAATGCTAGAAAGCACGCACTCATGATGCAGCCATTTGTTACAGGAATCATGCCAATGCTCATTATAAGAACTGTACTAATTACAAGAAGACGCAACCATCATAGCACTGGTGCAAGAAGCCCTCCGCCCCAGAGCCCCTTAGGCTGAAGCATTAAGTCGCAAACCTTCGATCGCCTTCCCCTCCTCGTCCTCCTACGACTCCTACGACACATCATTAGGTATCTGATCCAGAATCTCACATTAATAATTTGAGTAACGACAATAATGACAACACTAGCAACCATAGCTCATCATGAACCACTTCTACAACTTAAGTACTCCTACGACGACCGCCATGACTACCGCCGATGAATTTTTGTGAGCTGAGCAGGTCTGGGTCGCAGATAGCCACGACACGGGGAACCGTAACGTGGCCGTGGAGATGTGCCCTGCGGTTTACGGTGTAGGGTTATAGGTTTATGGTTTGCGGGTTTCAGGGGCTTTCCGTATCATCGTTTGGGGTGTGGGACGTTTGGGATGTAGTTGTTGTTTATTAGGTCTAGGGTGGTCGGGGTTGGGTTTTGCAGTGGTCAGTGGTTTTAGTAGCGATGGCCTTTGGCTGGCCTTTAGGCTTCAGGGTTGTGTTGGACGCTAGAGTGTTCAACATGGCTGGGTTTCGGCTAATGGCTGTGTCTGGCTAGACAAGTTCACGTACTTCAAACCCCTAACTGGTGGGAAAAGAGCCCTCCAAAAAAAAGGCGTAAAAGGTCCTAAATTCCACACCCCTGGATCCTAAATGGCGTCGCACGGTGACAGGTCGGGCAAGTCCGCCAAAAGCCGTAAATCGCTCTGAGTCTGGGGATGAGGTGCAGATAACAGGCTGCTTCGTTGGAACCGGGCGTAAACCTTAAAGGGTTCGATAAGGGTACTATAAGGGTACTGTAAGGGTACTGTAAGGGTACTGTAAGGGTACCCAGATTATTTGTTCAGTTACTCTTGCAGTGTAGGTGTTTGAATCATGGGGGTTGAGGGTGTCGGGGCTTAGGGCTTCCTGTTTTGGCACTTAGGTATATAGGATCGAGACTTCGGGGCTTATGACTTAATCGCACTCTTGGGTTTCAGGGTGTTGAGTGATATTTTGGAGTCGAGTTTTGAAGGTTGTTAGAGTTCGCCCAGTTGTTTTGGGGTTAAATACAAACTCTCGAACCCTTAACCCTACAAGCCCTACAAACCCTCCAAACCCCATAGACCCCATAAGCCCTAAATCCAAAAAGGCTACAAGCTCCATAAACCCCATAAACCCTAAACCCAAGAAGCTCCTTAAACCCCCTATGCCCTAAACCCCTAAACCCTCAAACCCTTAACCCTATAAACCCCTAAAAAAGCACCTAAAACGAAATCCCAAAACGACCCGTAAACTCCTTATGCCCTACACCCCTAGACCCCCAAAAGCCCAACCCTAAACCCTTAACCCCAAACCCTAAACCTAAACCCCAAGCCCTAAACCTGCAACCCTAAAACCTAAACGACGATGCCTTGCCATCACAGTCACCACTCCGAACTCCGACACCACCGATGAACACGAGGTCTTCGGCGAACAGGTGATGGTGATGGACCTGCCGAAAAAGACGGATGGCATGAAGCTGGTGCTCCAGTACCAGGAAGTGCCCAGCAAAACTTCATCCCATACAGGCACGGCAAGCACCAAACTGGAGAAGAAGCAAAGGGCCTTCCACAGGGGCTTGTCTCGGACCAGGCGATCCTCAACGTGTTCGGCGGGGAGTGGCTCTTACTGTTCCAGGCGAACAAAAGCGGACTCGACAGGCTCAAGGAGGTCCATGTGAGTCTTGAGGGAGCCCCAGAGGAATCGCAGGGGGTAGACCCTAAACCCTAAACCCTGAACCCTAAACCCCTAAACCCCTAAACCCCTAAACCCTAAACCCCTAAACCCTAAACCCCTAAACCCTAAACCTGAAGCACAGGGGGACAAGATGCAATGACCGGACACTGGAGCAGAGGAAGCAGGCCGAGAACTCGACTCTGAGGGCAAGGGAGAGGCGGACAGTGATGTGGAGGAACGTATGGGTAGTTTTCTAAATTAGGGTCTCTTTTGGGGTCTTTTTTTAATGGTGCCGTACTATATTGGGGACCCCAAAAAAGAACCTAATCTAGAGAACTACCCACATCGACACGCACATCGTCAAAAGTAAATCGTGCCACACGTCATCGTCAAGGAGTGAGTGCTGGGTTACCGCAGGTAGGCCGACCATAGCCCGCCTAAAAGAAATAACCCAAACCCTAAACCCTAGACCTCAAACCCTAGACCCTGAACCCCAAAACCTAGACCCTAAACCCAAAACCCAAAACCTAAACCCTAAACGTCAAGCCCTAGACCCTGAACCCCAAAACCTAAACCCTAAACCCTAAATCCCAAAAGCCCCAGCCGAAGCTGCAACAGGTACTGGCAGGTGGGACCCGTGGGTTCCAACGAAGCCAAGGACGCTGCCCAGGCGTGCTCGGCTGGAGGATTTGGGGCTTAGGGTTTAGAGGGCTTTAGGGTTTAGAGGTTAAGGATTTCGGGTTTAGGGCGTAGGGTTTAGAGGGCTTTAGGGTTTAGAGGTTAAGGATTTCGGGTTTAGGGTGTAGGGTTCAGAGGGCTTTAGGGTTTAGAGGTTAAGGATTTGGGGTTTAGGGCGTAGGGTTTAGAGGGCTTTAGGGTTTAGAGGTTAAGGATTTGGGGTTTAGGGTGTAGGGTTTAGAGGGCTTTAGGGTTTAGGGTTTAGAGGTTAAGGATTTAGGGTTTAGGGTTTAGAGGGCTCTTGGGTTTAGGGTTTAGGGTTTAGGGGGTTAAGGGGTTTAAGGTCATGTTGGTTTTGGGGTTTGCTTGGACGGTCGGCGAGGCTTCACAAGTATGTAGGTTTCTAGTTGTCCTAAACCGTAAGTCGAAAGTCGGTCCAATATGGTAGTCTACCAGAAGATCATGATGTAGTCCCGCATTATTTTATCACAGCGCAAAGCGATCAGAGATGACGGGCCCCTAAATTCCAAAAAACCCTCATCCCCTCAGCCCTAAAGCTCTGAACCCTGCACCTTATCAGCACAGAAGGTCGAGCTCCTGGCAGATCTCATCGCCGAGCCCTTGTTCGACAGCCTCCGGACGAAGCAGCAGATCGGTTACGTCGCCAGGGGCCCAATCGATTGCTCTGGCTTGAGGGTTCTATTGGGGGGGGGGTGAGGGTGAAGGGTTTAGGTTGTTTGGAGCAAAAGGCTTTAGGGTTTGAGGGGTATTTGCTTACGGGTTTGGTGCTTTAGGGTTTCAGGCTTTCGGGACCCTCTGTGCCTCTGTGGGTATCTGTCGGGTTTAATTACGAGATCAGAGGTAAGCTTATTAATTTTCCAGGCCGCTGTATGTGTTTCAACTTGGTAGTACCATACCAGCAAGTATCATTGCCTGTCCTTACCGCTCCCCCTATATTGCAGTCTTTCGATGTTCGAGCTTTTTCTTGTTAGTGATCCTAAACCCTAAAACCTAAACCCTAAACCCTAAACTTCCAACTCTGGCATCAGAGGTAGCATTCGCAAGTACACGAGTCTCTCGGGTCGTGTGGCAGCCATCTGCTTCGGAGATTCTGTGCCGGTGAACCTCAAACCCCACACTGCTCCAGACTCTGTACATACTGTAGTAGTAGTAGTAGTAGTAGTAGTAGTAGTGCTCAGATCAAGAGCCTTGACAAGCAAAAGGCACAATAATCGGATCAAAAGAAATCCTAGCTAGACTGTAGACAGGATCGTCATGAATGTTCTTCATGGCCTGACAGTAGAACCGTCCAAAGGGACTCCTGTCGAAGATAGCAGGAATATGACAGCATCAGATCCTATCTATAAGGACTAGACATGCTCTTGCAAAGGTGTATGTGCCGGTGGTCCGAGCCAGGTTCCAATCTTTCGAAGTTAAGGTTTCTCAGGGCCAAGTAGTGTCCTGTTGCATCGTCATAAGATCCCTGGACCGCAGACCTTGATCCCCAAGCCCTAAACCTGAACCCTGAAAGCTAAAATTCAAAAACCCAGCGCGAAACGCTGGCTCATCTGACTCCCTTTTCTGAGGGCTCCGATCCTGGACCCCAAAGTCCCAAGCCCTGAACCCTGATACCCCACTGTACTAAAAGGGTGTGAACACCAATCTTATTCGAAACCATATTTAAAACCATGAAAGCCGCTAAACCTTGTAAGCCGTATAGACCCCTTATAGACCTTTTCGACGAGGCCTTAAAAAGAAACTCGTTCGATACTCGCAGTCCTAACCTCTAAACCCAGTGAAGGCCGCTAATATAGGGGCCTTAAGAAATAGGATGGGGTTTTGGGGCCCATTATACT